CCCACCCCAGCCCCCACCTCGCCGTTACTTGAAGGTAAGTCTTGTAGATCATAAAAGTAGAAATTCATCATTTTAGAGAGAAGGAAAGACTTTTGTAGGGACATTTTTCTCACTTTTCCTCCTCCCTCGCGACCATCATATTTATTTATTTTGTATTCTTATGCTGCATAATCCTTCCTACTAGCATATAGCATATTTATTATTTAATTTCCTTTTGTATTGCACATTATTTATCGTTTATATGCGAGTATTTATATGTGTTTGGGATGTCGTTTTCTGTAAGATTGGACAGATCAGTGCACTTGAAAGTGTTGGGAAAACAGGGTTTGACTCGCAGTGTATTTGTTGGGAAAGATAAAGAGCATTTCTAATTGTAAATCTGGGATAAATGGGGCATTTTATAGTGTTATAAGCACCACTATACGGTATGTCCATGGTTAATCTCGTGTCAGAACCTTAAGACAAACGTAGACTATCGAAGTATCAAATATTATTATACACCAGCATGTCATTTTGTGTATCATCGCTATATTTTCTTTATTTATCTGCCATTGTTACTCCATTCGGTTGGATATCCATAAATTTACGAAACCCTAATGATATCGAAATGTTATATTTTATTGTGTTTAACATTTTGTAAATAAAGTGCTCAAACTTGCCCTGGTTTGATTGCGTTTTGTGTGGATTTCCGGCCGCAGCAGGAGCAGCAGGGATAATCTAAGAGGTTTGGAGGATATTTTAATTCCTCATGCTGCCAGTGGAGACTGTCAGATTAACAGTAGAGAGGGGAGGCTTATTGACTCACCCAGCTCTACAGTACAGTCCGGATCAATAATTAGACACCGGGATATCTGAAGCACATCAGGCGGCTCTATGTATTCAATGCAAAGTGCATCTCAGCGAAATAAAAGGCTGCGCGGATTATTGATATTTTATTGGACCGAGGGAAGTCTGTGGGCTTATAGCATCTTTTACACGTCACATTAACCCCCACCCACCCACCNCAGGCATAAGAGAACAAGTTCAATTTTCCTATTGATCAGAGAGTGCTCCCGTTCAGCCATCCAAAAACTGTCTTGGGGCCCATGAAGGGGACATTCAGGATTAGGCTGAGGTCACTACTAATTCCAAAATATTTTGTTGTTCAATTTTCATTTTTTTCTTTAACTAAAGTTCTATATGTAACGTACATTTCAACACAATTATAAATTGAAACGGATTTTTCTATCGTTTAAATTATCAAATTTGTAAATTATTAATTGAATCACTGGTAATCCACAAATCACCATCACAATGAAATACGACTTCAACAGGAACTAAATTATTGATAGAAATCATACATTTTTGGGCAACGCTGATATTTAGAAGCTAACTTTTGGATACGAGCTAAATCTGATGTTTTTAGCAACAATGTTTTAAATATTTGCCATTTTTAACACCAGGTATTCAGAAAACATACAGTGCTGAGAGTTAGACAGAATTTAGTATAAACAAAAGTCAAAGCTATTCTAAATAATCATAAGTGTACTACAAAATAGCAGTTTGCTCAAAAATGACAAAAAACAACTAAAACAATACAAAAACAACTGCAAAAAGAAACGTTAAGTTAAAATCAACGTTAAAGTTAACAAAAACTCTCAAATATTGGCAAAATTTTAGTAAACAAAATGAAATCCCTCATAGATAAGAGTAAGCCAAAAATATACAAACCCAGGGATCATTTGTCAAAAACAGCGCCAAGTATAAATATAACTTACTTTTGAGTTATAATGGATTATATAGCGCATTTTAGCACAAAATACTGTTTGCCAAGAAATGTGTAAAATTCAGCCTATTTAAAATATACTATTTTAAGCCACATATGTTAGCCTGAAAACGTTATAAATGTTAGCCAAAAAGCTATATAATAACAAGAAAACCGCAGCACACTTACACACATAAATATATATATTTTTTACTCTTAGAATGATGCCAGGCTGGATGGATGGATGCTTGTATGTGTGAGAGGGTGAGCGAGGGAGAGAGAGAGAGAGAGAGAGCGCAGTTCATCCTTTATTGCTCCTGGAGAGCCATTTCAAAGCTCATTAATCAAAAACTCGTCGCTTTCAGGCTCCTCGCTGATTCCTCCTCCTCCTGAACAAAGCATTTGCATTCCAAATCCAAGTAGCACGCCTCAAAGCGGGCAGGCCAATCTTTAATGGTGGGGGGGAGACGAGAGGGGAGAGGATCCCACTGCTTTCACATTCTCAGGAGTGATATATCCTCGAATTTAAGAGCGCATCAAGGCAAATGAAACTCATGTCACAGAAATAATCAGTGGCTCTAAACCTGTGCATGCCTCACACTCACTCTCTGCTCCCAGAATAACTTCTCTTATACAGTGTGTGTGTGTGTGTGTGTGTAACTCAGCTGTGCAGCTCATCCTACATACTTCTAACATTTCAAAGTGTGTTTTACTTCTTTTATGATCAGGTCCAGCCTGCATCACAATAGGCTACAAATCATGTGTGTGTTCAGAGAATGGCGGCCATTTTAACTGTGGTCATTTTTCTGCTACTGTTGCTGACGACATTTCAGAGCCACTTATGCTATTTCTAATATATACAGTTTATTTATCTCTAATTAACACCAAATTTACATGAACTATATGTCTCTGCCTTTAATGTAGCTGCTAATTAATATCAAATTTAAATATACAGTAAGTTTAACACTTAATGTACTGGGTCTTTACTAAAGGTACTACTGTGATAGTATCATGGCAAGTCCAGGATCAAGATAAAAAAGTAGTTTAGTTAACGTAAATCAGGCTGTAAGCAAAAGCAAATGAAAATTTAAAAAGGATCTTTAAGCCATTCAGAAAAAATCAGTTAAGACACTAAAATATATATATAAAAGTTTCAACACAATAAACTATTATAAATTATTATTATTATTATTATATATAATTTTTCCAAAAGTATTTCATTTCTACCATTTCTTCTCATTTCTACCAAGACGTTGGCAAGTTTGAATTGGAAAAATAATTAGGAGTAATGTTAAGTTTTTATATTAGGAATAGTTTTTTAATAGATGGTGAATATTATAGTGTGATTTATAAAATAAAATTAAAAAATACCTAAACAAAAACCTGGGTAAGTCTATTTTTGATAGTCATCCTTTGTTAGAGCTGGGTCCATCTTGCTTCTCTCTGATTGGACGAAGGGCAGCTCAAACCACGCCCACTCATTGCAGGCTAATGTTTACGTGTGGTGATGTCGATCTACTGTTAATGAGAACAGGCCAAGGACCGTTTCCACAGTAAGAACAAACGTTGCTTGACTTTTACTTGAGTATATGTTATTTTTGTTTTGTTTGTGACTCCGCAGTAAGGCGTGTAGGACAGAGCTGCGTCAGTGTTTTTGTTTACAAATGTAGCATTTTTTTCTATTCATTCATTCAGACGGTATGAGTCAGGAACCCAGATGTGCAGTGTCAGCTTTATTCATTCGAGCAATGGAAGAACTCTGCATGATATATAACACGATGCAGCCCAACAGACTGAAGGTAGAACAAAACAAAGCCGAGGAAGAAGAAGAAGTTACAGTTCCCGTTAGCAGCGTCAGAAAACATCGCGATGTTTCGTCTGTTCCAGCCTGCAGCTTCCATTCTCTTCATCCCAGGAGGACTGAGATTTCTCAAAGTCGACTCTCAAATTCTCCACGTTACCAGCAGAACATCTTAACGGATAATGTTGGAAACGAGATCTGAACACAACGACAGAAGATGAAGAAAGAAAAAGGGATTTATTTTCATAATTCAGGACTGAATAAAAGGACGTTGTTATCGCGTTCAGATCGTATGAAGCGGTGCAGAGTGGAGGAGAACGGAGCTGAGGAAAAGGAATAATTAAGGTCTGGATAACACAAAATGTTTCAAGTTAAAAAAATATTATTTTGGATTTTCTGGATCTAATGATCTCAAATAATACATGAGAATAATTGCAGAATTAACTCTAACTGTGATTTAGTTCATACTGTAAATCTGAATCAATCGGTATCTTTAGCTCATTCTTCTCTATTTGTAAATATGCATTTTATTATTTGATTTCCTTTCTTATTTTAACATGTAATAACTTACTGTAAATAAGTGTATTGTCACTCATTTCTATGCTGCTGTAAAATGGGACATTCATCCAATGAAGAATTAATAAAGTTTTCTGATGAAAAACTATACTGTGTTTCACTCCTATTATTTTAGCTTTATTTTTGTTTTATCATTCATCTTAATGTTAGTTTCGATGTTATTCAACTGCAAACTCAGCATTTCACATCTATTAATGCTGGTGTTCAAAGACTGGGTTGAGACCCCTAGATGTAACAGGAGATATTTTAGCCAAATTATTCTGTGTTATTGTTTTTCCTCATTAGTGTCATAATTAAAATATTTCAGCAGTCAGTATACTGGGTGTTTTTTTTATTTAAAGTGAAATACGATGCAAAATGTCAGCAAAATGTTTAATCTCTACAAATATGTAGCTAATGCTAATAATAGTTAGCCATTTTTTAAATGAATGACTCCGAAACCATGATATAAAAACAAATTTATTCAATATTCTGTATGTTTTCGCAGATTCAAACACAGCGCCACATAGTGGACCAAGGGGGACATAATGTATACTTTCTGCATCTTCTTCTCTCTACATTCTGCTTCAGTGTCTGAATGACAATTAAGGGCCATTGTATGATTGGATACAGACTTGGCCACTAGGGGTTGCTAAATCCTACATATTGTACCTTTAATTGTTTAAAGTAAATCATAACCCATGTATGCATAAATAAATTAAACAATTTAATCAGACTTGCTTCCTCTGTGTCTTATTAAAGCTGATCAAAAGACTATAGTGAGTATCTTTATTTTTAAACAGATGCAGGTTCATTTCTTATCCATCCAGTTCTCAGATGATGAGGATGCAGAATAGGGAAGATGTTGATGATGATGATGATGATGATGATGTGTGTCTGTGTGTGTGTATCCGCTGCACCCTGAGCATGTGTAAGCACTGAGGGAGGATGTGAATGTCAGAGGACACTGTTGTCAGAAGTCCTTCCTGCTGTCTGGCCGCTGCTGTCATTAAGGATGCAGCTCACAGTGTGTAGGAGGTGAATGAGCAGAGGAGGCAGACGCTGCCTTCATAGTGAGGAGGGCATCTGTGTCCTTCACTCACTCGAAAGGTCTGGAATGGATTCCTGCTTCTGCACAGAAACCTATTCCAGACCTTACGTCACATCCCCGTGACATGAATTCTTGATCTGTTGGCTCATTTGTCAATCTTTATGTAAAACTATTACATATCGCAAGACACTACAAAGAAGGAATATAGCTACAAATATGTTAAATATATATATATAATTAAGTCTGTGTTTGGTATGATTAGCTGTGTAGCTGGATTTTTTTTTCACTGTGGTTTTGCAGGTTTGAAATATAAATTAAACAGTAGGAAGACACAACCACACCTAAAGAATTTCCTAAGGCTACTTCAAGAATTTTGTGTAAAAAACAAGAGTGGAACAACATAAAACCTAATCCACATTTCATCTTCTCAATCTTTAGAAAAACTATATATTTATCATATATTATTACATTATTTTCCACCATTCTGTTCTGATATATATATATATATATATATATCTGCAGCTGGGTGAACAGATTTCCCAGCTCGGCCTGTGGTCCTCTGTTTTGCACACTCAGGAGGCTCCTTGCCATAACTGTGCACGGCTTAGTGTTTTCAAATGGGATGAAGTAAAACACAGCGGTGCTGTGGACAGATCAGAATTGATGTGGGACTAAAAATTTGGCTGCTACTTTAAAACCCTCTGTGGTGAGGCTGCAGAGCTGCTCATTCACAAAACTCTCCAACATTTTTTTGTGTTTCCTCAGACCTGCAGCCAAACCACCAGGAATAACAGTAGCCGAGGAGCCGACATTGATCATGCTTGTTGTCAGAGAAAGTGATGTGCGTGGATTCATCACAGCTCTTGTGTGTTAGTGATATTGATATAATTGTAAGTGTAATAAATGACTCTCCACTGCTGGTGTGATTTAGAGGGCTTGGCCGAGCGGCTCTTCTCCTCCTTCCTGCTGTGAAAGATGGCTCGGTGATGTGAGGAAATCTGAAGTCACTCATATATAATACCCAGGCCTTGACTACAATGCACTGGTAAGTCTATATCAAAAAGTATTAGTGCCTCTACCTTTATCCTGATGCTCATATGGATTTCTTTCACAGGCTTTTTCTGTGTGAAATTACGAGAGAATAAATTGCATCTTCATTTATCTTCGCAAAAACCCTCCTGTGCTGACTGTGATACTCAGCTCTCAGCACTTTACATAATTATATTAGTCCTCTGCTACAGCACCAAATTGATTGCCCAAGAAAATGAACCTGGCTTAGCTATAAATTACACCTATGGATCATAAGAAATGTGTTATTTTGTTTAAAATACTACCTAATATGATTAGAGCTCTAATTCATGGCGAGCTACAAGTGTGCCTATTACAGTAACAGGGTTTGGAATTTAATCTGTCTGCCGGATAAAGAATGATCCTGTGTGCTTTTCATTTGTAATCCCAGACACATTATTTCAGTGAAATAGTCAATGACTTCCAGATATGAGAGATGGATTGTTGAATGAATAACTATATTCATAAGTTTCACTGCTAAAGTTAACGATTCATTCATGGAGGGGGAGTTCAGGTCCGTCCCTGTCCGAATCTCTTCTGCAGAACTTTTAACACTGAACGGAGGAGCTGATAGTGAGTTCTGCGTCACCGGAGGTCAGACCTTCGTGAAGACGTGAAGCTGATCTCTATCAGTGTGACACGCCAGAGTGTTACATGCAGATTTACTGCATACAGTATACAGCAGAGAAAAACATGGAGGCAGCTCCAGATCAGTGGATATCATTGACTTTATATAAGAACTGCAAAGAACTGTTCTCAACATCAGTGAAAAAAGTGCTTTAATAGTAAGTACAAAGTAGTCAGTAATGAGGGACCTGTCAAATGGTGGATGGTCACCTCATGGTGTTTCGCTCGTTTAATAATGCGTGACTCCTACTGGCTGATTTAGCTGTCAATCAAATGTGCCGTCCTCTCACATTCACACTGTAACTGTTCCTTGTCTGTTTTATGCATAAAGTCCTTTATGTCTACAAAAGGGATGTGATTCATTAAAAAACACCAAGGAATCTGTTCAATGATTTATTTACTATTTAGTTTTATTAAAAATAGGTCTTAATTTTTAGTTTTGTCCAAACCAACATTCTGTCACCTGCAATAATGCTCCATCTAGTTCATCTTTCCCCCTCAGGGTTTATGTTTAAATCCCTTAACGTGTGATCACGTCCCCAGGTGAGACACTTAAATACTAATTTAACCTTCATTTCTGTTCCTCCTTCCATGTTTCCTCAGTTGATGGATTAGGAAAAAGCAAAGAGAATATATGCCACATATATTGGCTTTATAATTTACAATTATTCCAAGATTATTTGACTTCTTAGATTATATTCTATTCACCATATTTTCCAGACTATAAGTCGCAAACCCAGCCAAAGGATGAAAAAAAGCATGACTTATAAACCGGAAAATACAGTTATTAATTTTCTAGAAATCATGATGAACTCCTTTTAATATTTTTATTCTTGATAATGTTGAAAAAGTCCAGTTTTCTGAACTAGGATGTGAAACCCTATTGTTGAAGTAACTAAATTCCAAGGTGCACCTCCTCCTTCCATTGTTCTCCTTACCTCCAGACCTCTGCATAGACTCAAGAGCACCGTGGCAGCGTGCAGGGTTAAGTAATTCTGCACCACTGAGAAAGACATTTGATTTCATTTGTAGCATGTCTTGCAGCGGGTGGAGGTGAGCCCACCTTTGGCTGCGGGAGGAGTGAAGCGGCGCGCATATCTAGTGCTGGGAGACACAAAATTGACAATGCATTTATCTTTGAATAATGTAAATGTCCCGAGAATACGGTGGCAGTGGTCCTGGAGTGTCCGCTGAGGGCGCGGGGCTGTCAGACTCACAGCTCTCTGGCTCTGCTGCAGCATAATGTGGCCTCGGGCTCCCCTGGAGCATCCTCCTGCTCTGCTCCGCTCTGCCTCAGGCCCACATTCCCGCTCCGGCACACTGCACTAGCTCCCCACTTAATTTACACTCCGGTCGGAGAGGGAGTTAATGCAGAAGAGCCTGCCAAGAAGAATCTGATCTGCTCTCCTTCTCTAAAGGTGAGCTAGGCTAAGGCACGGTATATATTGGATAAAGGTGTGGAAAGTGATGGGATTTTTTTCTAGCACACGCCGCTGTAGACTGCAGACACTCGTGACTTTACATGACGTTATGAAAACCAAATTATTGTATTAGTCTGACGAAAATTACATTTTGAAACATATGTAGGCATGCTAGCCTGGTTGTTATAGAACTGAATTTAATTAGTGAATGTCAGATTCATATATTGATGATGTGAGGGTTGACCTGGTCAGGCATATGTACGTTGAATGTGTCTGTAACTGGACATCACATTGGCGGTTAGTTCTCTCGAGGCTAGGTTGAATACAGTAAAAAACTGAAGCCTCTAGGGTTATGTTTTAATCTGTCCCTGGGTCAAAAATTCCAAAATTTCAGGTGAGTCTAAGTTAGTCTAGTTTCTTAATAATTCAGGTTTCGTAAAAACGTTGAAGTCAAGTTACAGTTGATCGCAACGTTTTCATATTTAAGTCTAGTCACAAATCTTGAACCATGCACCCCCACGCCCCCCATACCTTCAAAGTGTTAGCCAAGCAGGTTCTTCCCCCCCCATCTTCAAAGTGTTAGCCAAGCAGGTTCTTTTCCAGTGTTCCCGATGCTCTGAGCAGCTCAGGTAACACAACAGATCCTACAAAAACACCATTTATTGTGTCCTAGAAATGTGCAGCTTGCAGACCTGCTGCAAACCTGTATTGTTTAAAATGGATGGTTCCTGGCAGTCTGACAGTGTTGTTCAGTGAAGCAAAGTGCCAGTAAATTGTTTGTCTTCTGCAGCGCTGCCCTATAATTCTTCTGGGATCCAATGGCATTGTGTTTGCCAAAGAGAATAATGATAGATGGGATAAAATCAAACTAAAGGATTTTAGGATGCACTCTGACCACCGGTCTTAATCTGAATTCATCCTGGATGCTGCTCATGTAACGTC